GCCGGATTTACAGTTCCCGCCTGGGTATCTTGCTGGGGCCTCCAATATGTAAGACCTAAAGTCTCACTTCCACTCCACGGAGCGTGAACAGCCGAAAGGCCTCCACGAGGCTGGGCCCTAACACCCAGCGAGGCTCCGGGAACACGACAGAGAACCGAGAAACCCAGGAAGGAACACACCAGGCTAGATGGTAAATAGACCTTTGTTAGTCTGGCCAGACGGCACTCCCGGAGCCAGGTGGCTCAGAGAGGCAACTGCTCAGGGGCTGAGGTACTTTTTATAAGGTTTTACTAAACAAAGAGTCAGGGAATTCACAGAACAAGACTGCAAACACATTGCTTACCTTATGCAGGAAATGTTCTAGGGTCACCTTTTGTCAAACCATTTGCCCCTGGGCGGGCTGCTAACCAAGGTAGCAATTAGCATATGAAGAAGCACAGTCTGGCCTATTAGCATGGAGTCACTTTAGCCTATTCAAGTCTTACACTGACCCCAGCGGGGCTCCTCCCATGTCCCATGTCTGCCCAGAGTTTGTCTTCAGGACCCAGACGAGGAATGGGGTGCCCTCGACAGCCTCCCTGGCCGCACCCCGTCATCCACACCCTTGGCGCCTCCCCTCCTTGGGGAGAGCCTGAGACCAGGCTTGGCCTAAAGCCGGGAGGACCCGAGACCACAGGCCTCCAGAGTCCTAGAGCGGCAGCGCGGGAGTCCCGAGCGCAGAGGGAGGGGGAAGGGATCTCGGGTCGGGAGGAGTGGAGACGCTAGGCCTCCCGGGTCCTAGAGCGGTCGCGCAGGGACGCAAGGCGGAGGAGGCGGTGTGGAGGGGTGGAGGGCAGTTAGTGCCTCGGGAGGCTGTGCCTGGTGGGTGGGGACGCGGGTTCCGCGTGGGGTTGGCGACTGGAGCGCAGGGACGAGCAGGGCCAGGCTGGGTGGCCTAGGGCGAAAGAGCCACCTCCGTGTTCTCGGCCCGGGAGCTGGGTGTGGGGATGCTGGCCAGGGATCCCAGCACTCTGGGAGGCTGAGGCAGGAGGATCACAAAGCGATTTAGCGAGGCCCTGTCTCAAGATAGAAATAAAATAGGGCTGTGGATGTAGCTCAGTTTGAAGGCCCTGGTTTCAATTTGTAGTACCGAAAAACAAAGACGAAACAACAAAAAAAACACATGCCCAAGTATACACACACATACATGTTTTGATTATGAGGCCGGGTCGTGATGCCGCTACTTTTTAAACACTTTTTCATGTGATGGGACAATCCTGGTTTATGCTACCTGCAGTTTTAACCATTGAAAAGTATAACTTAATGACATTAAGTACATTCATAATACTTTTTAAAAATCGAACTGGCAGGCCAGGCGTGGTGGCGCACGCCTGTAAACCTAGCACTTGGGAAGCTGAGGCAGGAGGATTGCCACGAGTTGGAGACCAGCCTAGGCTACATAGTGTGTTCCAGGTCATTCTCTACATAGTGAGACCCTGTCTCAAGACTCACCCCCCCCAAAAAAAATTGAACTGGCAGAATGTTTCTTTTTCCTTTTTTCTTTTTTTCCCCTGTGCTGAGCTTTGATCCCGGGACATATACTAGGAGGTTACTCTACCACTGAACTGCATCCCAGCTCCATTCGTTCAATATTTTGAGTTTAAATTGGCGCTGTCATGACACCCCTAGAACATTTTTTTCCCAAGGATAGCTATGACATCGTGTTTGTAGTTATTTACCATTCTACACATTTACATTAAGCTGTCAATCTCAACAAGTGATGTTTGTCAAGGAAAATGACAAACTCTTGTTAGGCTGGTTATCTTACAAAGAAGAACCAGTCTACAAAAATGCAGATTTTCAACAAAGGTTTAGCTCTCCCCTTCAGCCCTGGAAGTATGTGCTCAAGGTGTTGCGTACGTGTGTATGTCTTTCTACATGTATTAGGACCGAGGAATTTGGCTGCTCTTGTATGTTTTCTCAATGCCAAAGCAGACAGATTTCTTTTACTAAGGATTTAGTATTATGGGGACTTCTGGAAGCTTTCACGTGCATTGCAGTCTGGCTCTCGATTGCCAATCATTCCAACATGCCGTGCTAACTCAGTGTCCACCTATCCTGCTATATATTTTTCCTCATTAATTTTATTGGTACATTTAAGCGATACAGTATGATGACATTCATCATTGGAAATTTGTGCCTTTATGTAATCCATCTTGATTCTTATTTTTCCCCATTTCCCTGCCCGCCCTCCCTCACATTGCTGTTTTTTTCCACTGACCCCACCTCACTTTGTTTTTCTATCCCTGAAGAAAAAAGAGGGGATAGCTTTCCCAATTTTCTGTCTTCCTTTCCTTGTACCCTTTCATTCTTTAGTGTTGCATAATGTGACACAGGCTACCTACCACAGAGCAAGAATGTTTCCTTGTTTCTCTTGGCATCAGGTGAAAACAGGATGGAGAATTCAGAGCTCCCTGCAAAGGCCATTTCTAAGCCATCGGAGACACCTGAGAGGTCATCCGAGGGCCTCCTCGGGGTGGCTCCCAGACCGGACGCTGGCGATGGCTGTGAAGATGCTTTAGAGCAGCTGGGAGGGAGGCCCTTGGACGAAGGAGGGAGTGGATTGGAAAGTGAGTTCCTGGAAATAACAGACGAGGATAAGAGTCCCACAGAAGACAGGTGTGAGGAGTAGGTGTGTGGGAAGGGGCGCCCCAATCTGTCCTCCGGGCCCGCTCAACATCTAGGCGTTCCGAGGGGCCGGAAGTGCTGTGAGCGTGACGAGCGTGGGAAAGTGTTCCGTCGGAGGCCACGCCCCCTCGGCCCCCGCAGAGTCCGCAGTGGGGAGAAGCCGGCGAGTGTGGCGAGTGTGGCGAGTGCGGCGAGGCGTTCAGTCGGAGGAAGTGTCTCATTCGACACCAGAGCCTCCACGCTGGGGCAAAACCACGCAAATGTAGTGACTGTGGGAAAGCCTTCACTCAAAACCCTCAGCTCACTGACCGTGAGCGAATTCACACTGGAGAAAGACCTTGTGAATGCAGTGAGTGTGGTGAGGCATTTGGTCTGAGTAAGTGCCTTGTTCGGCGCCGGAGACTTCACACAGGTGCAAAACCCTATAAATGCAATGAATGTGGAAAATCCTTTAATCAAAACTCTCGCCTCGTTATACACCAGAGAATTCACACTGGTGAGAAACCCTACGAATGCAGTGAGTGTGGGAAGGTCTTCAGTGCCAGCTCTAGCCTGATGGTACATCGGAGAACACATACTGGGGAGAAACCCCATAAATGCGAGGATTGTGGGAAAGCCTCGGCGACAGCTCACAGCTTATCGTGCCCCGGAGAGTTCACACTGGAGAGAAACCTTATGAGTGTATTGACTGCGGGAAAGCCTTTAGTCAGCGTTCCACTTTTAACCACCGCCAACGGACTCACACTGGAGAGAAGCCCTCAGGTCTGCCTCATCCTTCAGGTGCCGGTCTTAGACAGTAAAGGACTTTGAGAGAAGCTACCTTTGTCAAAACTCTGTGCACCCTTATCTTCCCCCCATTCCCGATTGTTTTCTCTTGGGCCACTAAGGTGAGAGAGTAATGCAAATCTTCACTATTGGACAGTCACGGACTAAGCATTTCATTTACATGTGATTGGCCTCTTTGAGTATGTTACAATCTCATTTGTTAGTATTCGTCTCATGGATTGTGTTTATAAGGAAGAAAGAGTGTATCTTTGTTCTATTGCAGACACTCAGTTTCATTACTCATGCGAAGTCATTCTACAATCCCTTACGATAGCTACAGGAAGTCCTTTGTAAGACATTCTGCAGTACTATTTTTTTCCTTTGTTTTGGTACCAGGGATCGAATTCAGGTCCTTGTGCTTGCAAAGGCAGGCGCCAGAACCACTGAGCTAAATCCCTGGCCCTCCTATTTCTTATCTGTCATTCTCCACATGTAGTTTTTAAACTCATGTTTTCTTCTTTAGCCTTGATTTGTTTCTTATTCTGGAAAACTGTTCTCATTTGCTCGTCTATGTTCCCTTGCAGTGTTCAAAATCCACCTCACCTCTGGCATTTTTCAAATGCTTCTTAATTCCTCTTAAGCTTCTATTGATTGTGATCCAATTACAACTGTTAAATACTTTGTAAATTATTTTCAACTTAATGTATTTGAGTATACTTCATGATAACTTAAAAGCTCTTTAAAATGGGTATACTATTTGTTTTTATAAAGACAGTAGTTTTAGTGATAGGGAATACTTTTATAAATAGCAAAAATCTATAAAGTGTTACAATGTAAAGTGGCTTCTGGGTCTCTAACAGCAGTTTGTTTTGTTTAGCTCAAAACTAATAGGCACCGAAGGCACCAAGTGCTGAAGGAGGCATTGGTCTGACCCTGAGATATCAGGGCACATCAAGGTCTTGAGCTCCCAGAGACTGAAGCCACCTGATCCTGAAAGGGTCAAGATAAAAAGGACCACTGCCAACATTTGCTCCCGTGACCCTGAACACCTCCCCTCCTACGGGCTAGAATAGATAATTAGGCGAATCTTAGAGGTAAACGCCCAACTGCAAAGAACTGTTACGCCTGGGTTGAAAGCTAACTCTCCTGTGCCGGTGATGTGAACTGTGAGAGTGAAATGTAACCGCCCACGTGAAGTCAAGGCCTGAAACCCTATGAAAGGAGGAGCTGTAACCCAGTGCGTCGTTGATCCAGGCACGGCTTATGCAACCCCCATAGATGAGTGAATTTGTTATTTTACTTCCATTCCGCCGCCTCTGTGTGTCACTTTCTGCTTCCTTCCGTAACATTAGTACTCATTGCTAAATAAATGTTTATTTTAAAAGATAAGTTTTTAAACCTAACTGCTGAATCTCAATGTGTACAGTTGTCTTCCCCATTCACTGGACAAGAGGCTTGTAAAGATGGGTGTAGAATCCTAGAGCATCACACAGAGACGTCTCGTGTTCCACATGCACATCTGGTTCTTACAACTGGTATTTCGGCATCACATAGCCAATGGACCTGTGACTAGGTATACATCTAGGTGATTGCTTTGGCAGTGACGTTCTCCCTGGGCCCTTTTCACCCTGCACACTTACTCAGGTTTTAAACTAGCTGACTATATCCTGCCTCATAAACAGAGTTTGTAGTCAGAAGTCCTGGGTAATTGGAATTTATGGTGATCAATTTTGTGACAAGGTAACAGAGCGAAGCTAATATGTTTTCCTTATCAACTAATCCTGTCTACATACAACTGCCATCTTCAAAATGAAACTACCCTTTTCTGGGTGATCTTCTTTTCCACAAAATCGTAAGAAACAGGATCTCTTAAAGGGTTTTCTGTGCTTCTGGTCGTGTGTCAGTCACGAGCTTGAACAACTTCCCTTCCATCCGTCATGTTGTGGTACAGGGGAAGTTTTCTCTGTGGTACAAACTCTCTCTTCATCCCCCTAACTTCCTCTTAGCAGGACAGGATGAGCAGGGAGGCAGTTAGAGATGTAGGTTACGGAGACATGTCAGATACGTAACCTGGAGGAGAGATCTTGTGAGCTGTGGTTTATATCTCAGACAATGGAGAAGCAAGGAAGAGAATCAAAGTTTAAGAAAGTAAGAACGAGCCAGGTTGTAATCTCAGCTAGTTGGGAGCCCGAGGAATCAGGATTACAAATTTGAAGTCAGTCTGGGCCACTCAGTGTGACCCGATCTCGCCGGTGGGGTGAGGATTTAACTTACCGGTAGTATGCTTATCTAGCATGTGCAAGGCCCTGGGTTCAGTCTCCAGAACTGCAAGGAAAAATTAAATGGGGAGTTGAGGGTGTGATTCTGAGGGAGACAGCTCACAAAGTTGGAAAGGCCTATTAGGGGCACCGTTTGTGGGTGGTCTACAAACTTACCGAACTTAGGACACAACTAAATTCGTCATTGGTGAATATGTTTTTTTAATTTGCAGCTATATTTTTGTGTTTGCCTCTATATTACTTTAAAAAAACATTCAGGTTGGATTGGGGGACTAGAGGTTTGTGTTCCATATCCCAGAGAACAGCCTAAACCTTTATGAGCGCATGGCCAGTCTCTCACCCTTAGTCGGACATTTCTGGTCATATCTTTAATATAACCATCTACCTGCTTGATGCTGCAGGTTTTTTTACCTCTTGGTTTTTGTCTGCTCGTTCCCAGGCACACTGTGCGGTAGGTGGGAAGCAATGCTTTCCATTCCTGTGTTAGCTCATACCACGAGCCTGGTACCCCATAGCAATGGGTGGCCTGACATCTGGTCAAAGCCTCAGGGTCATAGGTGGAGGAGAAACAGCTGTAGTTTGAAAGCCATACTTTGTTTCTCCTGGTCATTGCTAGTGTACACCTTATTGTTTCTTAAATGTTATATTAGCATCCATTTAACCTTGTTTTTTTTTTTTTTTGGTACCAGGGATCAAACTTGGGACCTCGCGCTTGTGAGGTAGGTGTGGTACCACTGAGTTAAATCCCTGGCCATGTTAAATTATTTTTAGTTTTAGTAGTTTTTTTAGTTTTACATCTTAGCTTTTTTGTGTAGGTATACATAATAATTCGATATCAATTTCCAGTCTTGTGTCCCTTAGGATTGCATTGGCAAGACATTAAAAATATAAATTTTTTTCTTGCCTCTCAGGATGAGATATTTTGTAGCATTTTGCAGTTTGTTGTAGTATTTATTGTTGAATCCTGTTCAGAGGTTTTCTTGTCTTCCTGTTTGTACAAGAAGCAATGTAGTGATTAAGAGCACAGATTTTGTGTTCAGCATCCCAGGTTCATCTTGTCGCCCGCTAGTCTTTTAGGCATTGACCCACACACCTTGCTTAGCTTCTTCCTGTCTCGGTTCTCCCACTTGTAAAATGCAACTACCAGAAAAATTAAAAATAAAAAATAAAAGGGCCGGGGATTTAGCTTAGTGGTTCTGCCACCTGCCTCACAAGTGTAAGGACCCGCATTTAATTCCCCGTACCAAAAAAATAAATAAATGAAAAATAAAAGCAGCAGCTATCTCTTGGGTGGTGATTTATAGAAGACACTTAAAACAGTGTTTGAGACATGGTCTATATACTATCAAGGTTATTATACTTAAAGAGTTTATTTTAAATTAAGAAGGGCAGCTAAGTTCTGTTTAGCCAATTGTAATTGTAGGGGCTATGTCTTTTTTGTAATTCATTTTACTGGTAAATTTCCAAATTGAATTTTTCTCATGTTTCTCAAATAAAATGTTTGTTGGTAGTAGTTTTTTTTTTTTGTGTGTGTGTGTGTGTGTGTGTGTGTGTGTTATTAAGTTCAGAACAGTCCAATCTGATAATGTTTTGCTGGTTTTGTAAAATGAATTTGGGAGATTTGTTTTATCTTTTCATGCTGAGGATAATTTGCATAAGGAGAATTATTACTTAAAGGGTTTTTAGGAATACTTGTGGCAAATTGTTCTGGGACATGGGTAGGGGATTGGGAGATACATAGCTCTAGCAACTATTTTAGTCAGTTGAAGCTGCTATAATAAAATGTCATAAGCTGGGTGACCTGAACAACAGAGTTATTCCTCACAGTTCTGTGGGCTTGAACATCCAACATTATCGTGCTGTGCCAGACATGACGGCACACACTGTAGTCCCAGCACTCGGGAGGATCCACAAGTTCAAGGCTGTCCCGGGCGATATTGTGAGTTCAAGACTATCTTGGGCTATACAACAAAGTCCTGTCAAAAGAAAACAAATGAAACAACAAAAACCAACATCACTGTGCCAGCCTGGTTGCGTGTTTGTGAGTAAGCACTGTCCTGGTCTTCACCAGTTACCCACCTTCTTGCTAGATCCTCAGATGTCAGAATAAGAGTTCTGATGCCCCCTTTGCTTCTTTTAAGAGCAGTAATCCTACCAAGGCCCCATCTTCAAGACCTGATCTCAGTTATCTGCCTACGGACTTCCAAATACCAGCTTGAAAGAAAATATAAATCTCCACTTTTGCCAGCCCTCCCCAGTGCGCGTCCTCACATACAAAATACACTTCATTCCATCTCAACAACCCTAGAAATCTTATTTCTCTATCAGCTATTATATTAGTTGGGGTTATCTAGAAGGATGTAGGGAGCGGGAAAGGGATGTTCCCAGGACCTCTGCCGTGGGTCCTGGACCCTGAGCCACCAACGCACAAGGCAAATTCAAGAACAGACAGAAACGAGACTTAAGAGTGGAGAAGCTGAGTCTTGGCTCCCGGTCAGAGCTGCTGATGGCAGCAAAGACAGAGGCCCCCACGCACGTCCAGTGTGTGTTGAATACAGTGGTGGAAAGGGATAGGGAGCTGGGTACCTTTGAAGGCATCTAGTGAAACACTGCCGGACACCCGGCGTGATGGAGCCAGGCAGGGCTGTTAGGACGTAAGTACGGCTAGGATGGAACGAACCGGTACTGGGACCGGGTGCAGTCAGGAAGCAACCCATCGGGTCAGTGAGAAGCCATAATTCCGGGGAAAGGGTTTTAACTGGGGTCACGCTGACCTCAGCTGCACGGAACTCAGCAGAGCCCTGCCACTTCCCAGACCAGGGCCTGGGTGTCCGCAGCAGCCATGGAGGGAGCGGCTGTGCTCGCCCAGTCCGCCACCTGACACGCCCATTGAGTCCCACAGAGCTTCAGCCTGACTCCCGATGGGAAGCGATAGAGCTGAATTATGGAAGGCGGGAGGCATGCGCCGCTCACAGCCCGCTGGTACTGGGCGGGGACATCGCCTACAGAGGAAGATACTCAATATATATGTGTGTGATTATGCAAGGGATTTACAAGGTAGTCTTACCAGATCAGAAGAAAGAATCCCAGTGTCTGTCTGCTGGATCAGAGACAAAAGAATCCAAAATGACCATCTGCACACTGGAGAACTGAAGGCTCCAATAGCTGTCGGGATCAGAGGTCTGGAAGATCACTGCAGAGTCACCAGGGCTCATCCATGTCTGAGGGCTGAGGAGTCAGTGCTGGAGGAAGGAAGGAGCTGGAGGCCAACATCCAGAGGCAGTGGTGGAGACCAGAACTCCTCTGAAACAAGCGGAGCTCGCCCCCACCTCTTCTACCCAAGCCACAAGTCTGTCGGTTGGTATCACCCATATCCAGGGTGGCTCTTCCCCACCCGACTTGCTGACCTACGTGTCAGTCACCCATGGTACACCCAGATTTACTAACCTGATAGGTGGCTCTTACGGAAGCCTGACTGATGTATCACAACAGTCACAGCTATATTGTCTAAAGCTTAAAAGAAGTCCTGACTGCAGATCTGTCAGACAGGGTTTGCCTCATCATGGCTTTGGTTGAGCTCTCAATATTCAAGAGAAGTCATTGAGTTCTGAGGAAGATAATTCAATCCATAGCAATCCTTGAATTTCCCTGGTGTGTAGCATGCCCAGGTACTTGTCACCCACTGTATCAATGACTTTTCATTTTTTGGCCTAAGAAACAAATGAACAGTCCTGTATAACATTATAAACACTAGGACACAGAGAGGCCAAGCTGTCAGCTCTCGTGCAGTCTAGAGGCTTGCTCAACAAATGCCAACCCTGAGTCACCTGGGCATGTAATCAGAGGAGTAATCTGAGGACAGAAATTGTCCTTTTCTGTCCCCATCTATAAGGAAACTCAACAAGTGCTGATAGGTCTGTTTATTTTTTTTTTGTTTGTTTTGTTTTGTACCGGGGATCAAATTCAGGACCTTGTGCTTGTGAGGCAGGCACAGTGCCACTGAGCTAGATCCCTGGCCCCAGCTCTGTTTAGTTTTTGAAAACAACATGTACTACATCTGGTCAGTTGGTTTTGTTTCATTTGCTTCCTATGCTTAAACTTATCTTTAAGGAGGCCGGCTCCAAACAAGACCTCCAAGGACAGCTGCCTTAGAGGCCCACCCCTGCGTTGGTGTCAGCCTTCAGAGGAGCCAAGGGGTCTGACAGGGAGCCGCAGGCACCCTGCCTGTGCCTGACAGAAGAAACAGCATGGGCCTCTGAGGTTTTTTTGAACATGAAAGGATTGCGGTTTAGACATATCCCAAGGCCATCCTATAACTATGTAACCAAAACTTAACATCATCCTAATTTCCCTGAAACACTTTCACTGATTATAAATGAGACACAAACCATACATTTTTTGTCTTTTTCAACGATTCAGCAAAATAAACCTAATCTACAGACAAACAGTTCCAGGATCATGAGAAGTAGCAATATGACCTTTAAGACTCCATCTTGGAAGCCGGGCATGGTGGCGCATGTCTGTAATCCCAGCACTTGGGAGGCTGAGGCAGGTGGATCGCTGCGAGTTCAAGACCATCCTGGGCTAAACAGTGAGTTCCAGGGAAGTCTGAAGGGAAGTTTGAGACTCTCTCTCAAAAAAAAAAAAAAAAAAGACTCCATCTTGGGAGCAGACACTGAACTCATACAAGACACCAAGCTTGCCACCACCTTGATCTGAACTTCCCAGTTCCCAGAGCTGTGAGAAATATGTTCCTGTTCTTTATAAATCAGTCAGGCTCAGGTATTCTGCCGTTGCACAAATAGACTAAGACGTACCCTACAGGTCGTCACCCTTTGATGGAGATTTCAAGGACAGGACACTGACCAGTGAGCCAAACTGTGCTGCTGGCTGTGCAGACCACTGTAACATCAGCTCTGCTGTGTATCTGTAGACCCGTGGCTGTTACACATGGACTAGCCGTATGGCCCAGCGACGGATGGGTGAATGATTTGACTGTTAAGAGCTCCCTTGGTAGGCAGGAGAGTAGCAGTCTGCGACCTGAGAAAGGGACTCACTTGTCATGGCAATGGATCAGACGGAACTTACAAACTGACCTAATATATACTTGACAAATAGCTACAATTACACGTTTCCACAGAACAGGACGTGAGAGCCCACCTTAAACACAAGAACAGGCCAGATCACGAACACGTACCCTGAAAGAAATGGAAGCTGAAGATACAACACATCACTAGCTGACATCATGCAACGTGGCAGGCTGATGGAGCTGCATGCAGGGCCCTCCCAGTGTGGCTAATTAACCACGTTCGACACTGCTACCCAGTCATGGCTTTCAGTGGTACTTCACCACCACGGCACATGCTAGACATGGGACTGCCATTCTGGCACACCAGGTAGATGTGAGAACCACTCTCTTGCCTTTAGTAAAACATTTCTGCCATGTGCTCAGGTAAATTAGAGCTGGATTGGGCATCTCTCTCCCCATTAGAACGTCCCACCCAGGATTGGTCTGGGCTGCAGTGGAGCCACGGTCGGACTCCTGACTGACACCTGGAGGCAACGCTACCCCTTGATCGCCCCTTTACAGGTTCTCATGTTAGGACAGGAAAAGGGGTGACAATGTCGGGGCACTAGTGTTCTCTGCTTGCACCCTGGACCTTCCATCCCGCAATGCAGGTGCAAAATACTGTAAGATCTACTCAATTGTTCAGAATGTGACCTCCTGCCCCAGCTTAAGATGCTGAGGCTGGATGGTTTCGTTAAGTAGCAGGCACAGCGGATCCTTGCAGAAGCTGCAGCCTTTGGCCTCACCCTGGGCCACTGGACAAGAGCATCGTGGCACTGGGAATGGCGTGGAGTGGGCAGGGGATGGGAGCATCGTCCCTTCCTTTCCTCGTTCCTACAGAAGACCGTCACGCTTGTACCCTGTTAGCCGGCTTCTTATCGCTGTGAGACAGGACAGCTCAAAGGAGGAAAGACTTCTTGTGGCCCCTGGTTCCAGAAGTTTCTGCCCGTTGTCATTTGGCTCTGTTTATGGCCCACGGTGCGGCAGACCGCGACAGGAGGGAGTGTGCGAAGCAAAGCCGTTCGCCTCCTGAGGAGGCAGCAGAGGGCGGGAGGAAAGGGCCGGTGACAAAACCGCCACTGGAGGGCGCACTCTCAGGGCCGCTTCCTCCTTCGGGGACCCGCCCTCCGGGGCTTCCATGCCGCCCAATCCGCGTCGCCGTCACAGCCAGTGCGACACAGGGCCCGAGCCCTTGCTTCCGGTCGCCGCCCAGAGGCCCCACGTGACCGTCACTCCTTGGAACTTCCGAGCTAAGGGCTGTAACGGCTGTCACTGCAGGAGGCATCCGCGCGACGTCGTTCATTCGCGGGACTGGGTGTCCAGATCGCCGTTTCGTTCACCCACACTGTGGCCGTGGCCCGGCTGGCTCACCGGGTCCTGGCCTCGCTCACGCATCACTAGGACAACTGCCGGGCGACTCCCTCGCCCAGTCAGACCCGGCAGGCGCGGGAGGGTCTTGCTTTCCTGTCGCTCCCGGTCAGGAGGGGCATCGCTGACCTGCGCCAGCCCTGCCGACCTGTGCGGACCCCGTGTGGTTATTTTCTCACCACGTGGACGCACAGGCCCGCACTACAAAGGCCCCGCGGCACTGTGGCCGTCAGGGCCTGGCGGTTTTGGCCGGCGCAGCTCCAGGTTGTGTACTCCTTGGCGAGTCTCCATGGACACCCACATCTGCCCACAAAGGCAGGGAATGATCCTGTTACCTCGGCGCCCTAAGGCCCGTGGTCCACGTCCACAGTCGTACAGATCACACAGGAAGCTGCAGGGGCGGGGAGGCTCCGCTGATCCCCGAGGAATGACTTGGGGCGCATCATGAGTCTTCTTGTTCTTTGACTTTTTAATAACATGAGCTGGGTAGTGGCTATGATGAGCGACAGCCATTTTTTCTAGTCCACTGTCAGAATCTCTCACTGCTTTCCTGGTTTCCTTTATTCCTCCTGGAGCCCTACGGGTTTGAGTTGAGGCCTGGAAAACCTCTGGTGGCTCATCTTCTATTTGGGAGTAAGTCATAACTGAGGAATGTCCATTTGGATCCCCTGAAAGGTGATCAGAGTTTCTTTGTAATTCCTGCATAGTTTCACATATTTAGCATCACTCTTTCCATTGCCTGAAAAGGCTGACATCTGTGTGCTTTTCGTTGAGGCCTGGCTCCTCTCTGCGGTGTCTTTCACTGGCTCCCTCGATACTCAGGTCCCTGTTCAGGCGCCACTTGTGGCAGCCCAGCCGTCATATCACAAACATACCTGAGTTGGGGAGTGAGGATGAGAAAGGAAAGAACACTCAAGCCTGAGTGGAGACCAAGAGAAGTCTCGACAAAGTAATTTTTGAACTCATATTGATTTCCTGTTTTCCTCCTCCGAGATTAGGCTGAGTGGGAGGCCTTTAGGGATCTGGCTTGTCATGACCACAGCCTTCGGTGGTAACCACCCCCTGCCCCCCAAGTGACCCTAACACATATCTCAAGCCCTGTAGATGAATAAAGTTGTCAAGACAACGTAGAGATTGTGCCAGGGCCCGACCCGGACTCTCTTAAGTGACACGTGATGTGTTTATAGTTTTTGAAAAAACCCAGCACAGCCGGTCATGGCCCATCTTTGTCTAGTTCAACAGAGGAACTCATATAAATCCCTTCTTCTTGCTTTGGGGTGCAGTGGCCCCTTCTGTCTCGCTGCTGCCCAAGACGCAACTGTCTCTAAGTCACTAAGAAGTGGTGTCCTGTGCAACCATGGCTTTGTCTGCTTCTTTCTTTGGTCTCTGCCTTTGGCAACTGGTTCCAGTCACCAGGTTTTCCTGAAACAAAGCCAGAAAAGGAGGGAATGTCCCACCAGGACAACTGTATCACTTGTCCACAACTGCTTTCCCTGTTCTAGTGTCTTTATTTTCCAGGTCATTGTCCAGGCCGCCAACCTCACCTTCCAGGGCTCCAAGTCCTTTCTTTCCCATTTCAAAAGAAGAGGGTGTCGCGAGCCGCGACGTCAGGATCCTGCCAGCAGGTCCTAAACCTGAAAGGACGAGGACAGAGAGACGGGAGGCACTTTTCTTATGTTCCTTGCTTGCTTTATTATAGAACCTCTTCCTTTTTTTTATACTCTCCCGCTGCACGGCAGCGAGAGTACCGCCCACACATTCCAGAAGGAAACCAACGTTACAGTTGCCAGGCAACAGATCAGACCACCCTCTGAACTAGCCCGTTGCTACGGGCGACGGCACATCCACACTGCTCGGGTGAATCACAGGTCAGTATGGCTGTGCTCATGTCCTGTTCCTTTACAATGCTCTCCATAAGAGGGAAAGTGTTGAGGAAATTTCCCGACCTTGTTTTCTTTTGTTGGGGTGGTGCTGGGGTTGAACCCAGGGTGCTGCATGCGCTAAACAGGGGCTCTGTCCTACTACTGTGCTGCACACCCAATCCTCCCCTTCTTTTTGGAAGGCAGAGTCCTAACACATTTTAAATCCTAAAAGAAAGAAGCAGATAAGCAACAACAGCAACAAAACACTTTAGCATGTGATTTTTGTATGCAGCAAGGAATCAGATAAATGAATCGTCCACTCCCAACTTTTTTAGCATGCCGTATGCTACCCACACAGTTGTGTTTAATTGATAGGGAGTATGGACATTTAAAAGGCTATGAGGAGGATTCTAAGTGCAGCAAAGTTAACAACTAGTGCTTTTATTCATAGTTCTCTGCTGCTCCAAGAGTTGTCTGGGAATTATAGAATGGGTGACCTGGAGTTTAACGATACAAGGGCCAGGGATTTAGCTCAGTGGTGCCACCACCTGCCTTTCAAGCGCAAGGTCCCAAGTTCAATCCCTGGTATAAATAAATAAATAAATTAGTAAGTAAAATAATAAAATAAAATTTAAAAAATAAATACTCTTTGGCTCCTCCCCAGATCCCATGGATTCAAATTTGTAGTTTAACCATATCTCTAAATGCCTGTTTTAAAGTCTGAGAAGTTGAGAAGAACCTAGGGTTCTTACAAAGCAAACTGCCTGAATTTGGGGCAGTAAAGCACTCAGGCGACATTGCTCAGGAGAGAGAAGTGAAGGCTCCTTTATTCAAGGCTCGAGTGCTTGGCACTCAGAGAAATCAGCTATTTGCGGAGCTTCTTGGAGTGTCAAGAAGCCGGCTGAGCAGGACTTACCTCCCAAGTTGAGGTCATGGAGCTTTGCAGCAATATCCACAGAAGGTGGGTGCTTCCCACAGTGGACGGTGGGTGCCGGCCATGTTGAAAGCATCTGATAAGCACAGCCCAGACATAGAAATTGCTCAAGCTTCTCTGTAATGAGAAAATTTCATTCCTGAAACTCCAGTCTTCTATTGTGGTTGTTTCTGAACGTTCACGCTCCCCACTCCCGTCGGCTACCTAAGAACACTACACTTCAAATGGAAGGCAATGGACAAATTGGGTGTTGGGCAGTGGTTTCCATTTTCCTTTTTGCATGTGTTGTGCATTCTTGGTGGCCTCTCAGTCCTCCTCAAACTTGCTATGAGACATGGAGGCTGACCTTCCTGACTGCCCGGGCCTTCCTGTTGTGTCGCGAGCCGCGACATCAGGATCCTGCCAGCAGGTCCTAAACCTGAAAGGACGAGGACAGAGAGACAGGAGGCACTTTTCTTCTCAAGTTACTTGCTTGCTTTACTACAGAACCTCTCCTTTTTATACTCTCCAGCCACAAGGCTGCAAGAGGAAAAGGAGTGCCGCCCACACATTCCAAAAGGAAACCGTAGTACAATAACAACTATTATGGGTTACATTTGCTAGGCAACAGATCACACCACTGGAGCCAGAGGCCCGTCGTCAGGGGCAACAGCACGTCCGTGCCAGCGAGGTGACTCAAAGTTCAATCATGGCTGTGCTTATGTCAAGGCCTGATCTCATGAGGCTCTCCATACTGTTGGGCCAGCGGGGAACCCTGTCTGGGAGATCAGAATAATCACCTTCACATTACTCATTATATTACCTTCTCCTGTGCTGGCCCGGCAGCTGTTTGTGGCCCTCAGCTGAAAGCTACAGTTTCTGTGAGGTGCCTTGCTACACCCAGTGGAAAGAGCTTTTCTGAATGATTGCTGGCCGTGGGATTCTGCATTACCCGACGTGCATTTGCTTAACTCCGCCACTTCTCTCGTGTTCAGTACACATTCTCCATCCCTGTACAGTGACTGCGCCACTAACAATAAGTGGAACAAAGCTCTAGAGCATAAATGGGCATCACTGATGCCCATCTGAAAGATCAATCGGCAATATGTGGAGACCTGCCCCCCGGAAGCACACACTGGAGGATGACAAGGGCGGCTACCTGGCCCCTGGACACAGCCGGATGCAGTGTGCCCATCAGTGGCTGCAGACAGTCTTAGGCACTGGTACTACACCCTCAAGCTTGTCCAGCGTTGGCAAGAGATGCCATTTGAATCTAGAGGGTATGGGCAGTCTCCTATCCAGCCTCCTGGAGTCAATATTATTCACCACTGTCCACCCATCGGGCAAGCTGGATTAGAACTTGTCCATCAGAACAAACAGGTGGAGGCTGTGTGAAGCTAAAGCACGTGTGTTCCCCTGAGTGTGGAGGTGCTGTCAGTGAGAGTCCCGAAGAGGCAAGAGTCCTGGCAACTGGCCACCCATAGAAGCTGGTTCCCTCTTGAAGGGCACTGACTCAACCCAAACACAGATATCACACAAGGGCTTAGGAGGAGTTTGTTGGAGCCCAAAGGACGGCCGCCTGGGAAGCATATTCTAGATGCTCAGACAAAATTAGTAGCATCATACAGGATACAGTGGTGAGCTGCCACGCAGACAGCCAGGAAAAACAGCAAAGCAGGCTGCTCCAGAGAAGCCCCAAGGTTGGGGCAGAATGAGATTAAACACTTGTGAATAAAAGCATTAGCATACGCACATGGTGTACAGCTATCAAATAATGAATACTCATGAGTATGAAGCAGGTATTTGGTGTAGAGGTATAATTTTCCACTCAGCCCTATTTCGTGGGTGGCAGCATTTGGGTGTCTCTTTTAGCATGTAAATGAGGATCACAGTCACCTTGGGTCAGGCTTTTTTACCACAATTTCAGGGTCAATCTGGACTGGGTTGCATTGGTGTCTCAGCTCTTGAAGCTTCCCAAGGAGATGTGCAGAAATACCACAGAATGAGGCTGAGTAAGAAAGCAGTGGTTTGTAGCAAGGCCTTTATCGGACCACAAGCAAAGCACACTGTAGGCAAGGCTGAGGTAGTAAGGATGTTGAATGAAACAGCACCCAAAGCAAGGCTTTTTTAGGGGAAGGAGCTGTCCTGCTGTCTTCATCAATGGAGAGAGAGCATGAGTTTGGCGAGGTAGAGCTTACATAGGGTTTTGTAGTTAGGAGAGTATCGTGGAGGGCTGGGGATTGGTTGTGTGGGGCTAGCGACAGGGTGACAGGTGGTTGGAAGGGGAGGATCACGTGGATAGCAGGGTGGAGCAACAAGTTAGATTTTGCTTCTCCAGAGGATTTACTTTCCCCAGCAGTGGTTCACTTCCCATAAGCAGGAACCATTTTAGGGGTGGGAGCCATTTTGAAGGTAGGACGGTTGGGGCCATTTTGTCTGGTAGAGAATTCTATCAGGTAGTACCTTTGGGAGGTTCCAGGGGGCAGAGCTAGAGGTAGCCAGGCCAGGATCAAAGTCTACGCTATAGCTCACAGGGAGGGCAGAGCACCGAGAGGGCTGGGGGCAGAGGCCTGGGGTGGGTTCTCTAATGTGGGAAGTGCTCAGGGCCTGTTGGGCTTCTTCCCACATCTGTGAGACTCCACCTTCACACAGTTTTAATTGGTCTTGGAATAGGCATGGTGGCTAAAGCCCCACCTGTAAATGAGGCCAGACTGGAAAGGCAGGGTCATCACGGGGTCCACTTGGGGCCTGAGCCCCCCTGGAGGTGTAAGGGGGCTCAAGCGCCTTCTCAGCACCTCCTGAAGTGAGTTAACCAAAAGCCTGCGCCCAAAATTTACCTCTTTTCCTCCCCCAACTGCTTGTTCGAAACTGATAAATTAACCAGCACATAGCTTACCTTGTGATTAAGAACAAAGGACTGGACATGTTATACTGTGGCCCTAACCATAAAGATAGGGATTTCCTGTCAGATCCCCCAAATTGGATTTTGATCTAATATGCAGTCTGCTTCTGTACCCCTGTGCTTGCTCAAAGATGAGATCATGACACTCTTTTGTGTGGTTTTTCCCTTTAAAAACTGGGCTTCTCTGCTTGATCATTATCCAGCAAGATGGGTGTGAGAGCTAGCCCTTGATTGCTGTAATAAAAAGACTCCTTTAATTTGGACATTTTCGAGGTGTGATTTTTCCCTGAGACAGCTGTCACACCCAGCCAGCTGAGTGGCTTGGACTAGCTGGGAGCCCTGCTTTTGTCCCAAGGAAAGAATGGTGCGGTGGGGTGACAAACCAGGCGTGGGCCCCTCAGTGGCCCTGGGATGCCCTCAGGGCTCTGCCTGACCCCAGGCGCTGGAGGCTTCCTCCCGGCCAGCACAGTCAGTCTGAGAAAGCTCTGGTTTTGTTACAGAAAACTGTAATCGATAAAATAGGACACAATGTTCTCATAAAATGTTGGGACAAGCTGTGTTTAAGGTGATATATGTTTTCCAGACCTTCCTGTATGTAGCAAGATATTTTAGGATGTCTCTGTAGCTGCTTATCAAAGTTTCGCCAAGCCACCCGCAAAAGGAAAAGTCCCACGTAAGGCTTCTGCTTTGGCAGATAATCCCCGCCTCGCTGGCAACTGTATAAGTTTGTTCAGCTCTGAGCTTAAGGTCAGACCATAAGGACTTGTTTCCATGGTCTAGCCTTACTACTAGCAATAAAGTTTATTATTTTTTTTACCCAACTCCTGAGCCTCTTAAAGTTCCTTTCAGTGCCCCTGCCGCAACAGCTTGACCTCAGTGAAGTGGGTTGAGGTTTTTGCCCCCAGAGGAATGTTTTGTTATCTTGGCCACCAGCTGACACTGCTTCTCAGTGAAACGTGTCCGAGGGGGCTGTTCTGTGGGTGAAAGGAGCAAAGGGTAGGGCGCAGCGGGCGTCACCCGGTACTAGCTCGCCGCTCACGCGTGCTGCACACTCGGGCCAGGCCTGTAGCATCCGAACCGGGCCACGGTCTAAATGAACCAGACGCTGAGCCTGGGACCCGAGGACGGTCGTGTCGCCCCAAACCCAGGCCCGGTTTTGACACGGGAGGAATTAGTCATCCGTAGACTCTGCGGTGGCCCTTGCAGACCCTGTTGGGCTCCTCCCCAGCCTGCAGAGCGGACCGCGCGGTACTCCCAGGGCACCTGTAGCATCCGAACCGGGCCACGGTCTAAATGAACCAGACGCTGAGCCTGGGACCCGAGGACGGTCGTGTCGCCCCAAACCCAGGCCCGGTTTTGACACGGGAGGAATTAGTCATCCGTAGACTCTGCGGTGGCCCTTGCAGACCCTGTTGGGCTCCTCCCCAGCCTGCAGAGCGGACCGCGCGGTACTCCCAGGGCACCCCGGAGTCTGGCGGGACGGGAGCTGGGCCGGAGG